TAATTGACAGATGAGAGTCAGAATTGTCGCTCGTCATAATTGTCACTAGCCAAAAATAACAACAATCAAATTAACTGAACCATTCCAAACCCAAGCTCAACTGAAGTTCAAAGGCCCAACAAAAATAGAAGCCAAATTGACCCAACAATTGCAGCTCAATGGAGAATCAAAGTCCTAACTAGAGAACAATAGCCCAATCAATCAATCCAACAACCCAATAGCCCAAAATAAGAAAAAACAACAAATTCCAACTCAGCCCAACAACCTACTTACGAAACAGGAGCAGCTACCAACAACCTGTCTTTCGAACAGGAGCACAAACAGCAAACAACTGGAGCAACTAGCCAAAAAACCCAAGTATCCAGCAAAATAACGTATTAATGGAGCCCAGCAAACAAAGCCCAAAAGCTCCAAACTATAAACAATAAATAATCAGTCACAAAGCCCAGATCTAAAAGCCCAAAGCCGCAAATAGAAAAGACCTAGCAAACAATAATCCGTCCAAAGCACAAAACCAAGACCCAAGCAGCAAAGATCTAGCTATACTGCTCAAAAACAGAAATGAACCAGAGCCAAAACAAAGGAAGAGAATCACAAGTTTCACTGTGCAAATTAGTCACCACAGATTGATCAGGCCCAAATTACAATCGATTAGAAACAAGCTCACTCCACAGAAATTGCAAGTTGCAATTAATCAACAGAAGGAGACACAAGACCTTGACATAGATAAGCCAAGAACCACAGCCGACATAGAAATCTCATAAGCAGTCGATACAAATCTATTTAAACTACTGCAAAACTCTCAATATAGCCTCCATAGCACTAAATCGCACCTTGTATGATGGATTAGATGCAGAAAACTCAAACTAATTTTGCAGATTTTGCTGATCCACGAGTTTTGCCCTAGTTTCCAAACAAATATGAAAAACAAATCAAGAGTCCTACCAAATGGCGACGAAATTGAAAACGAAGCACACCATAGTGTATCCCATGAAGAATCGATTGTGACAGCGGTCTATGTTGTGCTAGAGTGATGAATAAAAAATTCTTCTTCTACGTTTACAATATTGCTAGTTGTGTTTGAAGATCGAAACACTGCTCTGATACCATGTTAAATATCATGAAATTATAAGAATAAATAAAGAGAGAAAAATAGAGAATCATTGCATTACAGCTTAATAGAAAAATGTATACAAAGGCCCTTATTTAGTAGGGCAACATAAAAGAACAAAAGAACTACACTACCCGTAAGACTAAATATTCTAACTACTCCAACAGAACCAAACATGATAAAATTAGGAGTTAGTATATTCATAGAACAACATACAAAACACATATTTAATATAAACTAGAGGAAATCAAATTATGTGGTATGACATATTTATAGTTCACTAGTGCCTATCAATGATAGTGCATGAGGTAACGGTTGGTCGAAATTAATTAGATAGTAGAAAACAACTGATAAGTCATGGTTTAATAGAAAATATTGTCCATGATAGAGTGCAATGGTTGATTAGGATTTCTGTTGCCAACCCAAAATAGTATGAAAAATTTTCAGTTGAGTTGAGTTGTATCTACTCAATTAACAACATTAGCATGTTATGTTGATGACATATCCTGGGGAAAAAGGAAAGGAACTAAATTGCTGAGAAGCTGTCGCATTAAAAGGTGATATTCCCAAGTTCCATATAGTATTTTCAACAATCCATGAAAACCAATAGGCCCAATGAGAACACCATGATCACTACACAAAGTTGACTAAAATGTGATAACAATAGCTTGCACTAAAGAACAGCTGTATTACTGACCAAAAAGAAAAAGAAAAGGCAATACAAGTTAGAAAGTATAGAAAAGTAATTAAAGGCAGTGTTGAATCCAAGGAGGGCTTCCAATCTCCAAGTAACAAATAATTTTTATCCCGAATTGGTTTCTCAACCTCTATTTTGCTGGTATATCATTCCTGGATAAACCCATACATGTGCTGGATGCACCTTCACCTCCAACTGCTTTCTTGTCATTTTTATCGGAGAGAAAAACATTTTCCTTTTATGATTCGTTTCGTCATTGCAGCAGAATCGGTGACTCTACGCAATATCTACTCAACTAAGGGCATTAGCATGCCCACTTGAAAGGTGATTCTTACCAAATTCAAGAACAGGTGTCATTCCAACAGAATTTCAATATAAATACACCACTCAATCTCTTTACATATAAACAACCAAGAAAATAGATTTGCTGGAAATGTGCGTACAAAGAATTGAGTAGGTTTGTATAAAGATTTTAAATTTTAAACAGAGACCCACAAGCATTTCTCATAACCATGGAATGTGAATAGGACCTACAATCAGTCATCAACAGAAACATGCCCACAACCAAAACAATCATAAAATATTAGACATAAAAAACATCAATTTCCACTACAAACAAAGTCTGCATTAAATAACAATATAAATCATCCAAGGGTGTTTTTCAACAATTAAAAGAGTTTGCATAAGTGCCGGCTCAATAGTAGAAGAAAAAAAGCGGGGGCTTTAGGCCCCAGATATAAATAAGGCCCCAAATTTAAGAAGTCGATAATGTAGTATAGGTCAAAAGTTGAAACTCAATACAATTTTGTCTAACAAAAAAGCTCCTGAAAAAGAAAATCAATAAAAATAAATTTAAAATTTGGACCCAAAAGTCAAACACACTTCACACAATCACATTTGTTGAAGGACCAAAAAGGTTAACAATAAAGTCTGACATTATCAGCCTTTTTTTGATTTTCTCTTATCAAAAATAATATAATAAGTATCAATCTTTCTATCTTTTGTACAAAAAAAAAAAACAAACTCAACACATTCTCTACTTCTCTCAATCTGAATTTTATTGTCATTTACGCACAAAACACCAATAAAACTATTCATTCTCATAAAAGGTCCAAAATAAAACTAATTTAATTTCAAAAAATATCTTTCAATAAAGTTGTTTCTTGTAACAAATAAAATATAACAAAAATTTAGTTGAAAGTTGCAAACATAAACAAGTAAAAGATCCTAAATTTTTTTTAAAATAATGGAATAATTCAAAAAAAAAAGATAAAAATAAATGTATTTCTAATAATAGTCAATACCACAATTTTGGTAAAACATCTACAAAACAAATAAAAGAAGAACAAAAAACTATTAATGAGGTAATAGATTATAATACTATCCAAATATTTATGCTCAAATGTCATACTATCAATTCAAAAAATATATTCGCACAATTTGGATAAAAAAATTAATTAGTAATTTTGAATCTCAAAAAAAAAAAAAAAAAAAGAAGCCTCATTAACACTTATCGCTTTAGGCCTCACATGTTCTTGAGCACTGCTGAATCCAAGAAACAAATCAACAATAAAAGTTAACATGTATATAATCAAAGAAGATTCACGAAGGGAAAGTCTGCACAAGATTCCAATACATATTATATTACAGAAGCACACCCAAAGTAAAAATAAATAATAAAAAATAACAAAAGATTCTACAAGATATAGCAGTTAAAATCTTTTCGAAACCAGCCACCCTTTATTTTCTTTCAAAATTAAATATACAAATCATAATCCAAAGGAGATACAAACCATGACTACTTCAAACATGAAGCACTTAAAGTAAAATAACATAATATTTCACCGGAAGAGCAAAAGAAGAAGAAAATAGCAGAAGCCCAATAACTCATACCGACACCACCACTGCCACCGACAACAAGAACAAGCTTAGAAGATGGAGTGGAAGTTTTGGGGTCTTGGGTTGAGTCTGAACTTGGAGATTGAATAAGTTCTTCTTTAACAGCACTACAAACTGTTGATGATAGTCTTCTTCTAGAGCTTGACTTGAGCCTAGAGCAACGATACTCAGAAAAAGAATGAAGCGACAGAAGAGAAAAATGAGGAATTCTTTCAGGAGGTCTTGGGAATTGTCGGCCCGACAAAGGAATATCAGTAATGGGAACAACTGAGAGTTTGGAAGCCATGAACGAGCGCGAAGGCAAAAGAGCAAAGAGAGGGAAGAAAGGGGGTTTGCTACATGTGGTTGTATTTACGGTTTTGAATGAACACAATTGATTACCACGGAGATTCAAAGATCTGGCGCAAATAATTTTCTGTAAATTACACTGACACCCTCTTATTTTACTTTTTTTTATGTAAACCACATAAATAGCCCTGAACTTTTTTGTTTTTAAGAGTTAATTGCATTGGAGATCTCCAAAATATGGTATTTATCTTATTCTAGTTTCTAATATTTCAATTGCATCATTTTAATCCATGATTTATTGAATATGTTTTTATATGGTCTCTCAAACAGATAACATTTAGATTGTTAACAATTTTTTATCATAAATTTGTCATGTGATACTTAAGCATGGATAAAAAAATAATTTAGATAATTTTTCACTAAATTTTTAATCAAATTTTGGTTAAATAGCTACCAAAATTACATAGTTTTGATAATGAGTTATCCAAATTTTGATTAAAAGCTAGTCATATTATATATTTTTTTGTCAAGAGCTACCCAAATTTTGTTTCAAATCTATCAAAATTATTTTTTGTCTATATTTAGCTATTACGTGACAAGTTTATAATAAAAAATTGTTAGTAATCTGAACGTTGTCTGCTTGAAGGACCATATAAAAACATATATAATACTCCAAGACCAAAATGATGCAATTAAAACATTAAAGACCAAAATGAAATAAACTCTATATTTTGAGGACCTCAAGTGCAATTAACTCTTGTTTTAAATTGTACCTTAATCTTTCAATTTTTTTATTTTACACCCTAAACTATTTAAATCATTTTAATCAACACCTTATGTTAGATTTGAGTTTTAAATAGGGATGAAACCCTAACCACAATTGTAATAGTTTCGACATTTCACCTATTACGTAACAGTTAAGCTCCTTCCCATTCTCCTGATGCTCTGTTCCTATACCTAGACCCTTCATCTCCAGACCCCAGTTGACTATGGGATCACTTCATGTTAGGGTTTTTGTTCCTAATTCGCATATTGACTAAATGCTATAAATAGGTGGACCTTTCATCTCCTAATCATCTCCTACATTCAACGACTAAACCACAATGACTTGGTTATTCTAGACAGCGGGTGTTATTTTCCATCCACAACAAGTCTATTGTAAGTATTGCATCTCATACCTATAATTTTGGTTGTTGGGTGTTGAGTATTGGGTATTAAACTAATTTTCATGTTGTTAGCTTTTCGGTGTTAGGTATTGGATTTTGGGTACTGTGTTCCTTAAAGAAATTGGGTGTTGGGTTTGGGGTAATGTGTACCTTAAAGAATTTGGGTGTTGGGGTGTTGGGTATTGTGTTCCTTAAAGAATTTGGATGTTAGATGCACAACACTAATTCTATAAGGAATACAGTACAATATTTTAGTTTGTTTATATGCAATATTTAATCCAGATTTTGTTGGCTATAACATCGAAGTAATTTGTTTGGATTTTTCTATATTGATTGTCAGTATTTGACTATAATTTATTCTTGTGTTGGCTTCATAATGCATGAGTAGGTCTGTACCCAAATTTTTTCACTATAGAGATGCATTATGGTGGTAAGTTCAAGTTTATGCCTTGCAGAATGTACTTAGGAGGGAAAGTTAACCATTTTGATTTTTGTGATGTTGATAAGATCTATCTCCTTAAGATAAGGGAAATGACAAAAGAATTACAGTGTGAGGGGGTTACTAGTTATCACTATAAAGTTCTTGGGATGGATCTCACTGAAGGTTTGAGGGTGTTGAATGATGACAGTGATGTATTACGAATGATAGAGTGGGTTCCCAAGAACAAGGTAATAGAAGTATACCTGGAACATGGCTTGGTTGACGAAGATGAGGTAAGTGAGAATGATGCAAAGGAAAAGGATGACGTAGTTGATGGTGACCATTTCGATGCATCAAATTATGAAGAAGTGTCTTACAGTGGTGAGGAAGAAACTGATGATTACTTGTTTGACACATAAGTAGACAATGTGGCTAAGTTTGGTGGTTTGGGTGAAGATATAAACATGGGGCAGTAATGCACAAATAATAGTGAACCTGCTGTAGGTTTACAGTCAGAGGTCCTTTCTAACGATGATGCTACTTCTGATGCACTTAAAATGATTTTCAATTCATATGATGATGATGCTACTCCTAGAGTTTTTTGTTTTTTTTTTGAACTTTGTTTTATATAAGCTAAGTGCAAGCCACCTTATAACAACTGCTCAAGTGTTGTGTTTTGTATAAATGAACCTCTTATTATGAAGCAAAATTTTTTGTTTCAAGTATCATTTTTTTGTCTGCAGAATCATTTTTTGCCTTCTATTTCAAGGCACTGATTCATCTGAAGCATATCAGGTAACATTTATCCATTACTAATAGTAAACATATGGTAGATGCTTAGTAATAAGAAACTCAAACAAATACACCAACTACATATTTCCATTACTAATTAACATTACATCATTGCTAACTTAACAAACCATTAATATGATACAAGCAATTCATATTCCCATTCCCATTACAACAACAATTTTTTTCTCCACACTTTCTCCCGTAATTTCTCATAATCAAATTTTATACTTGGTTCAACTTGAGCATCTAAGCTTGTTTTTGCTTCTCCACTAGATCCATTGCTAGATAATGCCCACACTACCAACCACGAAATTAGCAATGCAATCCACATGAAACACTCTCTTCTTTTTTGCTTGCTAGCTTGTCTCTTTACTACTGAAACTCGTTTTTATAAGTCTTAGGATTATCTACCACGCACGAAGACACATAAGAGGGGTGTACCAATCGAAGAACCTGCAACCCCATTCTACAAATACACAAACATGTTATATATGTTAGAATCTATAAATTACCTACTTCAGATGATGACAAACATCAGAGATAAGTCAATAATCACAATGCTTGAGATGATGATGAAATGTACTGTGGACATGTAGCAAGAGAAGAACCTCCTGCTTGGATTAATCTCAGTCCAGGATGTCTTCATCATTGCTCTTCTTCCATAGTGGTAGTAAACATCAATGGTTTGGTTTCCTCTTTCTCTCTCTCTCTCTCAACATCAACTGGACTGAACAAAGCAGGTTAGGTCAAATAAACAGAGCATCAGGTAATTGGGAGGGAATTTTGGCTCCTAAATTCTTACACAATAGGTGAAATGCTGAAAAATGTCCTTCAATATATGTTATCTGCAGTAGCTGTTAGGGTTTCATCTTATTTAACGCTCAAATCAAAATAGAAGGTGTTGATTAAAATGATTGAAAGTGTAGGGTGCAATTTAAAACAAACAGTAAAGTTCATGGGTCATTTATGTGGTTTACCTTTTTTTTTTTTTTATAATAATTGGGTTGTGTTAAAGGTCCAATAAAAAAATGTATAAAATGGAACCATTTCCTAAGTGATTATGTACAGTCGGGTAGTTATGAATTTTGGTGAGGTTTACTTGTAAAATTGTTTATTTTTTAGTGAACAGTTACATCACGCGACACTACTAACATGATGTGATAGTCACACCCAATATTTTTTGTGTTGAAGACTTCATCATTATATACAACCGATTATGAACATAAATGGTTCCTAAACTTTGCATAATATTTTAATTTGGTTTTAAAATTATAAATTGTCCCAATTTAGTCCTTATACTTTAAATTTTAGGGTAAATTGCATCGGAGATCCCCAAAGTATGGGGTTTATCTCATTTTGGTCTGCAATATTTCTATTGCATTATTTTGATCCCTGAAGTATTGGATATATTTTTATATGGTCTTTCAACAAGACAACGTCCAAATTGCTAACGATTTTTTATATTAAACTTGTCACGTAATACCTAAAATATGGACAAAAAATAATTTTGATAGTTTTTAAACAAAATTTGGGTAGCTCTTGATAAAAAAAATGTATAATATGAGTAACTTTTGACCAAAATCTATATAGCTTGTGATCAAAACTATGTAATTTGGGTAGCTATTTAACTAAAATTTAAGTAGAAATTTGGTCAAGAGTTATCCAAATTATTTTTTACCCATATTTAAATATCACGTGATAAGTTTATAATAAAAAATGTTAGCAATCTGGATAATGTCTGCTTGAAGGAGCATATAGAAATATATTCAATACTTCAGAGACAAAAATGATGCAATTGAAATATTTGGGATAAGAATGAGACAAATCTCATATTTTAGGGACCTTTAGTGCAATTAATCCTAAATTTTATTTCAACACTAATACTATTGAGACATAATTTAGGGACTTAATACATTGTAATCATGGGATTGATAGTCTTGAAATTTATTAATAATTTAATACTAGGATTCACTGACAATCTAAATGTCACAATCATTAAGTCCCCAAATTATGTTCTTAAACTATGTTTCGATATCATTACTCTTGTTTCAATGACATCCTTTTGTCTGGTTAAGCGGTTAACCAAATGAAGAGGCCATCGCGTGTCTGTCACTGGACTCAATCTTGGGCATTTAAGTCATTTCATGCATCCATCGATAAAAAGGGGAAGAAATCATATTGGTTCTTTGTCTTTTTCCCCCATCTGACACTGAAACAATTCTAGGGTTTCAAAAAATCCTCCAATTTGAAATATGGATTGGGTGGTGAGGGTTGTGGATGATGGGCTCCATCTTAATCAAATGTACAATAAGTATTTTATCAAACCTTTGGGGTTTCATTATTTTTCTGTAATCGTCAAAATGTGCGATTATAGTGGTCATTTACAATAATATTTTGTGATCGTCAAATGCATGTGTTTATTGTATTATGTATACCACAATAATTTAAGTTTATTATTCAATGCTCTATTTTATATTGTATAACACTCCTTAAAATAATGCGTTATTGCTATTTTTTATTCAATGCCCTGCCTGTTAGTAATGTGAACATTTTTCAATATTTGTGTCCAGATGTTGATATTTTTTAGTATAGAAATGCATTATGATGGAAAATTCATGT